AAACAATGTGTGTGGATTAAGGCAATGATTGAAAGTGGATAAAACATAATTTGGAGATTAGAATAGAGTATTGCAGCGCTAGGCATTGCGGGATAGTTATTTTTGGAATTGTAAGTACTAGTATTACTAACATACATTTATATATATAGATAGATATCTGGCGTGAATTTATTTACTTCATTGATCAGTTATATGAAGAGGTTCTTTGTTTTAAAACCTTTAAACTATAGACTAGATAAGGCAGATAGTTAACAGTACCCACCGCCAACTCATCTGATCGAATAATGGGATTTGATTGTCATATGTATAACGCACCCACGGCCCAAAAGTGTGTATAACGTTTTTGTGGCAAAGGGTCGCGATCCATGAAGTCTAAGAGTCAAAGTCCGTGCAATTTACCACTAGGAAGTGGAACAGACAGAGGCGGATGCCATTTCCACTATTTGTATCAACTTCGCCCCCCCCCCTGTTAACAAATCACGTGCATGGGAGGGGCGTTTTAAGATTAAGACCTCACTGCCAGTATTAGCCTTAATGAACACACGTGTGTGAAGCTATATTCCTACTGGTTCTCCTTCTGTGTTAAGTGTTAAGTTTGTTTTTACGTTTGCTTTTAACCTTTGTTTTGTGGAAAGTTATCATTAAATGTGAATTTGATCTTATTAGTAACAGACCTATAGAGTTAAAGATTTAACATAACTGTACGTGTAAGAGAGTACCAGTATAGCGATTCATGGCGTTCATCTCATCATGTATCTAAAAATGAAGCACCGGTTCTTATAATAAAGGACTTTAGCGAGGGCATACCTATTAGGGTTTTTTTTTGTTGTTGTTTTGCCTTTAGTGAAGCACAGAAAAACGTGATGCTGAATGGCAACTTTTTGTATTGCTTTTATTGAACATCTGACACAACTGAGTGTTATTAAGACAAACACCTTTATTAGTCAAGATAAATTACATAATTAAGGGAAGTCCACAAACAAGACTGAATGCTACATTATTAAGACTAATAACAATGTCACCAGTAGAGGTATGGGTGGTGAAGGTTGAAATTTCACACAAAGGAACAGGATGGAAAGCACATGGCTTTAATCAAAACTTACATTAAAAATGTAGTGGCCACAAAGCTTTCCATGAAAAAGCTTTTCTTTTTTCACTACTAATTCGAGAGAGGGATTTCCCCTCGTTCTCTCACACATCAAATCACCTGTTCAAGTTCTTGTCTCTGTATTTTGACTTCTATCAATTAACAAAATATCAATCTTCTAGTCAACTCCATACTGTTCATGTACTGAAGTCACTAAGCAGGTCTACATCATTATCAAAAGACTAAGTGTGATGATTATACCAAGAACTTCCTTGTAACAGCCTGATGGATTTTTAATTCCTCAAAGCTAAACAGACTTAATGCTGCAAAAGTGTTTCTTCCACTCCAGAATCTAGAAAACGTTCCATAATAAATCATAAAGAAAAAGACCTTTTCACATTTGATAACTTGTGTGAAACAGGTCTAGAAATTAAACTCAATAACAACAATAGGGAGTCTACTCTTTTTTTTTTTTAAATGTTCTTTCATGACTTACACCATAACGTATGCATGGTCGCTAGTTAACCTAGAGATCATATATATAGAGAGAATGAAATATAGACCACAACATCATAATGACCTTTCCTCCTTTCCTGGACGGTGGCTTGTTCAAACTGGGGCTCATGTTTGAACAAGGACCACAGTCCAGACCCCATTATGCGGTTAATTCTTCGTGAGATCATACAGACTCACAAAAAAGTGAAATATGATCACAACATTATAACAATCTTTCCTGCTTTCCTGGATGGTGGCTTGTTCAAACTGGGGCTCACGTTTGAACAAGGACCACAGTCCAGACCCCATTATGTGATTAATTCTTCTAAAGATCATACATACTCACAAACACTGAAATACAGACCACAACATTATGACAAACTTTGCCTGCTTTCCTGGATAGTGGCTTGTTCAAACTGGGGCTCATGTTTGAACAAGGACCACAGTCCAGACCCCATTATGTGATTAATTCTTGTAAAGATCATACATATTCACAAACATTGAAATACAGACCACAACATCATAATGACCTTTCCTGTTTTCCTGGATGTTGGCCTGTTCAAACTGGGGCTCATGTTTGAACAAGGACCACAGTCCAGACCCCATTATGTGATTAATTCTTCTAAAGATCATACAGACTTACAAACACTGAAATACAGACCACAACATTATAACAATCTTTGCTTTTTTTCTGGATGGTGGCTTATTCAAACTGGGGCTCATGTTTGAACAAGGACCACAGTCCAGAACCCACTGCGATTAGATCTACAAAACTACATAGCATTTTGACATGAAACTTAAAGGCAAGAGAATGTCTATAATCCTCTTGTTTTCTTTATCATTACAACTGCAGAGTAGAAGCGCATACTACATAGACAGCACAGATATCTAAAGGTTGCATCAACTAGGCACAATTAAGAGTATACATTTTGTTTTACTTAATTTTATTTACCAATTTTAATTCAACACTAAAGTTTGGTCATCACTTTCCAACCGAAAAACCTTTTGAAGGTTTTTTTTTTTTTTCTCTTTTTTAAAAGTAAGAAAAGAGCTTCAGAATAATTTCTCTTGTTTTCTTTTCAATAAATTTCAATTATTTAAAAACTTCTGTCCAATAACTTCTGAAATACAAAAATACATAAAACTGCAACCAAAAACTAAGTACTTAACCGTATGCATTTCTGGTGATAAATATAATGGGGGAAAAAAATACATGCATTTTTTTTTAAACAGTTTACAACGAAATAACTATAACGATGATTAAAAAAAAAAAGAAATGTGATGGAAGAGAAAGAGAAATACATAAACGTTAACTGTTATCTAGATAAAAATATTTCTGGTTGGGGGTTGGTAATTTCTAGTTCGTAACTACATGGTCCCAAAAATTTGAAAGTTATTCCCAAGATAAAGTAATATAGTGTTTTATATGTTTTTCTTCTGAAAAGTGCCTGGAAGTTTGCAAAATCTTCAGTTATGTTATTTATCCATACATAATTATTTTGCCACAGTAAACAGATTTTTGCTTAAACAAGCAAAGACAAAAATATGCAGTTGTACAAATATTTACAAATAATGCAATAAAATAGTAGCACAATTATTTCTAAAAGGGAGAGAAAGAGAGTGAATTACAAAAGAGCAATCATGATCTGGTGTAAAAATTGTCCTTTTTTTTCCCCCTCAATACAAACTTCAGCTGGAAACAAGTACAGCCGGAGTATTTGAGTACACACAGACAAAGCGAAGGAAGGTAACAGGTGATGGGTAAGATTCAGAAAGGAGGGCATTATACAAGGCCAAGGCTGTGCTGCCTGAAGGGGTGTAGGGCTCAGTAGTCTCCCCTTGAGGCCATCACAGACTTAAGCACAAAGAAAGAAATGCAGCACCTTCAGCTCCCTCTGCTTGCAGGGGCTCAATGCAAGCAAGAAGGAATAAATGAAACGCAAAATACACATGGCACAGTCAGACAACGCACAATACTGATTCCTACCCTTCACCTGCCACTAACCAAAATGAGGCCTTATAATAAAATGAAAATTCATCACCATGAACACCTTTACCCAAGTACTTGTACACTGGGGTGTTGGGAGGGGGGTGGCAAATGCATGTTCCTACTTCTCTGGTGATGTGCATGGTTGCCCTGCTGTGCTTAATAATTATGTACTACTTTTGTAACTTAAACATGTATATATATATATATGTGTGTGTGTGTGTGTTTATATATATATATATATATATATATAA